GTTTTTGACCGTTCCCAAATGCACAAAGAGGAAGAGAAGTGAAGAGCAAAAATGAATCATTATCTCTGAAAGCTCTGAGATAATTCAAACAAAACTAATATTTGCCTTATAGGAATTCCTGAAGGCGATGAGGTTGCTTTGAAAGGCACAGATGGTTTACTTTATGAGCTAATGAAGGAGAACCTCCCAGACATACCAAGAGATTCTGAAATTCACATAGCAGACAGTTTCAGAACTCCAGCATGACTCAACCCAAATAAGACATTATAATTAACTTCGTCAAAGTTAATATGAAAGAGAAAAATTCTTCAAGCAGCTAGATGTAAGAAAACCATAACCTAGAAGGGGAAGAATATGAGAATGACTGCAGATGTCTCTGCTGAAAACTTTCGAGCTAGAAAAGGGTGGTCATCAACTTTTAATCTCCTAAAACAAAGTAACTTTCAACCCAGGATCCTGTTTCCAGGTAAGCTAAGTTTCATTTATGATGGATAAATTAAATACTTTAATGATATTCACATGTTGAAGAAATTTGCCACAACTAAACCAGCTCTCCAGGATATTCTCAGACCTATCCTACATAATGACCATTGGAATCCTCCACCACAAAAGTAAACTCACTCAGAAACTTCATCAAATTTCAACTTCCACAGTGGCAAAAGGATTAAAAATGTCCACTGAACTTTTGAAAAACGCGATACCCAAAATTCTTCCAGGCTTATCAATAGTCTCAATTAATGTGAATGGCTTAAATTGTCCTCTAAAGAGGCACAGGGTGGCAAACTGGATACAAAAACTTAGCCCAAATATCTGCTGCATACAAGAATCTCATCTTACCTTAAAAGATAAATATAAATTTAGGGTGAAGGGACTTTCATCTATATTTCAGGTAAATGGAAATCAGAAAAAAAGCAGGTGTTACAATTTTATTTGCAGATATAATAGGCTTTAAACCAACAAAACTAAGGAAAGATAAGGAAGGTCACTTTATATTTCTTAAGGGTAACACTTAACATGATGACGTTTCAATTATTAACATTTATGCCCCCACCCAGAATGTCCCTCAATTTATAAGAGAGACTCTAACAGACATGAGCAACTTGATTTCCTCCAGCACCATAACAGTCAGAGCTTTTAACACCCCTTTGGGAGTATTGGATAGATCCTCCAATAAGAAGCTAAGTAAAGAAATTTTAGACTTAAACTTATCCATTCAACAATTGGTTTTAACAGACATCTATAGAACTTTTCATCCTAACAAAAATGAATACACGTTCTTCTCATCAGCTCATGAAACATACTACAAAATTAATCCCATCTGAAGTCACAAGTCTAAACTCAGCAAATTTAAAACCACAGAAATTATTTCTTGTATCTACTCAGATCATCATGGAATAAAAGTTGAACTCAGTAACAACAGGAATCTGTATACTCATATAAAAATATGGAAACTAAATAACATCATGCTGAATGATAGCTGGGTCATAGATGAGATTAAGGGGGAAATTACCAAATTTTTGAAACAAAACAATAATGAAGAAACAAACTAACAGAACCTCTGAGACACCAAAAAGGCAGTCCTAAGAGGGAAATTTATAGCATTGCAAGCGTTCCTTAAGAGAACAGGAAGAGAAAAAGTTAACAACTTACTGGGACATCTCAAGCAACTGAAGAAGGAAGAACATTCTAAACCCAAACCCAGCAGAAGAAAAGAAATAACCACAAATTGAGCAGAATTAAATGAAATTGAAAACAAAAGGGTTATACAACAGATCAATAAATCAAAAAGTTGGTTTTATGAAAAGCTCAATAAAACAGATAAATCTTTGGTCAACCTAACCAGGAAAAAAGAAAGTAAATTCTCTGATCTCATCAAACACAACTGGTAAAGATTAAATAACAACAGACCCTAGGGAAAACACTTGAAGAAATTGGTCTAGGTGAATGAGGAGGAGCCCCCCGCCCCCAGTCAATTGAAGCAACACCAAAAATACATTACTGGGACCTGATCAAACCAGAAAGCTCCTGCACAGCTAAGAGCACAATAAGTAAAGCAAGAAGACAGCCCTAGGAATGGGAGAAGACATTTGCAGGTTATATCTCCAACAAAGGTTTAATAACTAGAATCCACAAAGAACTCAAACGTATTAGCAAGAAAAGAACAAGTGATCCCATCTCAGGGTGGGCAAGGGACCTGAAGAGAAACTTCTCTGAAGAAGACAGGCACACAACCTATAGATATATGAAAAAATTCTCATCATCTTTAATCATCAGAGAAATGCAAATCAAAACTACTTTGATTGAGATATCCTCTAACTCCAGTAAGATTAGTTTACATCACAAAATCCCCAAACCAGAGATGTTGGCGTGGATGTGGAGAAAAGGGAACACTTCTACACTGCTGGTGGGAATGGAAACTAATATGTTGCTTTTGAAAAGATGCTTGGAGACCAGTTATGAATCTAAAAATAGACCTGCCATTCAATCCTGTAATTCCTCTACTAGGTATATATCCAGAAGACCAAAAATCACTTTATAACATAGATATTTGTACCAGAATATTTATTGCAGCCCACTTCATAATTGCTAAGTCATAGAAGAAGCCAAAATGCCCATCAACCCATAAATGGATTAATAAATTGTGGTATATGTACATCATAGTATATTATGCAGCCTTAAAGATGAAGATTTCACCTCTTTCATGTTTACATGGATGGAGTTGGAACACATTTTTCTTAGAAAAGTATCTCAAGAATGGAAGAGAAAGTATCTAATGTACTCAGCCCTACTATGAAACCAATTTATGGCTTTCATATGACATCTATAAGCCAGTTATAGCCCAAGAAGAAGGGGAAGGGGGAGGGGAGGCAATGGGGCAGGATGGGTGGAGGGAGGGTAATTGGTGGGACCACACTTACAGTGTAATTTGTAAGAGTACATGTGAAATTTACTAAGTGTAGAATATAAATGTCTTAACATAATAACTAAGAAAATGCCGTGAAGGCTATGTTAACCAATTTGATGAAAATATTTCAAATTGTATATAAAACCAGCACATTGTACTCCATGATTGCATTAATGTACATGGCTATGATTAATAAAGAGTAATCATAACAAATATTATACAATAAAACATTAAAAATCCAAAAAAAAGTATCCAGTTTACTGAATAGTATTATGAAACAAATATATCATGATCTTTACATTCATATGAATAATAAAACACTACTATATTTCATAAAGAAGGAGGGGAGAACAGTGAGGGGGGAGGGTGTGAGGAGGGAGAGTATTGGTGGGACCTTACCTATTGTGCACAATGCAATGATACATTCAAAAACTAGTAAGAGTATAGTATAAATATCTTACCACCACAAATAAGTGAGATGATGGCTATGTTAATCAGTTTGATTTAAGCATTCCACATTGTATATCAAATCAGCACACTGTACCCCATAAATGTACACAGTTATGATTTAATAAAAAAGTAAAAGAATTCTATCTAATGTTATCCAAGTACTCAATGGTGGAATCAGGATTCAGATTCAGGCTTGACTAATTTAAGAACTCATTAAGTATGTAGATAATGGGGGTGACTTGAGGCTAGGAGAGATAAAAGGCACAATAGTGAATAGAATCAGTAACCACAATTGCAGCTCAAAGGACTGGCATGATATGAGAAATTAACAAAATGAAATTTAAACAGATATAAATACATCTTCAACAGAGTCAAAAAAGTCCAAATGTCTATTTACAGATTGGGAGAAGACAGCTTACCAATAGCCTATGTAAAGAGGTTTAATGCATCTTAACAAAATCCAAATTCACTATGTGATAGTCAAAGACTGGTTATGAACATAAAAATAAATATAAAAACTAACACAATCTCAAGCAGCAGTAACAGAAATGTAACATCTTGAACAGGGGAAGTCAGAGTCTGACTCTAAACTACAGCAGTCAAAATACTTACCCCTGAAGAAATCATTAACCATCCTAAACATGGTTGGTAAAATGATCATGACAGGGAGGAATTCAAAGTTACAGCATGTGAGAAATGGTTAAAGCAACTAATATGCTTATCCAGGAAGCAAAATTATCTAAAGTGTAACTGACTTAATGAATGGTTGTTTTTTTTAAAAAGAAAGATGAGAATCTTTCTTTATGGCACCAATAGAAGTGATAATTCTACCAATGGCACAGGTCTGTGGTTGACATAAGAAACCTTAAGTTGAATCAAAGCTTCTAGAAAATGGAATGGGCTCCTTAAGCTCTTTTACATAGCGTTTTATGCAGAAGGTTAAGTGGCTACTAAGTATGACTACTATAAGAGGGGATTATAATACCATACAGGAAACTGATCTAGAAAACATCTAAGGTCATTTCCAAAATTGATATCTTAATGATTTTCTTCACTGAGGTTACCCAAAGATGTGTTTGTATACATTTTTCAATGAGGAGGAGAGGGGAGAGGTTTGATAGAGGGAGGGTAAATGGTGGGAACACACCTATGGAGTATATTGCAAGGGTACAAGTCAAATCTATCAAGTATATAACATAGATGTCTTAAAACAATAGTTAAGTAAATGAGGTGAAAACTATATTAATTAGTTTGATGTAAGCACTCCAAATTGTATAAAAAATTAACACATTGTACCCCACAAATGCATAAATGTACTCATGAGCTATGTGTATATAACTTAATAAAAGGAAAAATAAATAAAAATGAAAATAAAAAAACAAAGAAAAATCAGACTTTTTAAAACTTCTGAGTTCCAGTGCTACTCATTGACTATTCTTTAAGAAAAATCCCTAGTTGGTTTTCATTGGAGTTAGAATTTTAAATGTTTACAATATATTATTTGGTTTGAGATACTTCATAAATATTTCTCTCAACTTAGAAATGTATCTAACAAAGATTTCAAAGGTATTTTTGAGGAAGAAAGGTAACTAGAAAAATCATAGTTTTTGTATTATCTTTGTATTCTACAAAGTTCACAAATTACCTGCTCCAGTTTCAACAGCTGCTTTTTGGATTCCTCTTCTCTGGTCATGTATACACTTATAGATGCATAGATCAGACCTGTAGGCATGACTGTCAGCTTTCCAATCTGAGAAAGATATATCAAAAAGGACTGTTTTAATTTAAAAGCTTCCCATTTTCCATTTCTTGTTAAATTCTGAAGGCACCACAGGAACGTCGTTACTGGTTTCACTTAAAGATATTAAATACTCAAGCATTCCAAATTACTTCATACATTTTTGATGTATAGTTCCTAAGATTCCCTTCTCAAACTGACAAGACTAGTACTCTACTATATGAATGGTATAGTACTATTTTCACTTATTTGTTAACTATCTATATGGAATATAGCAATAAAATAATTACCAGGAATATTATTATATAATATAATAATTACTAAAATCTGAGGGATGAAGTAGGCTTGATCATAGTATTCATTCAGTCTACAAACATTAATTGAACACCTACTGTGTGCCAAACTCTCAGTACTTAGGATCTATCAGTGAATAAAACAAAGATCCTTGCTATCATGAAACTGACAATCTAGTGGAGAACAGAGAGGCAGCAAACACAATAAATACACTATATGGTATATTACAAGTTGATGAATGCTATGGAAAAAGGAAAAAAATAAGGAGTAGTATAGAGTACTCAGCAATAGAGGTTGCGTCATGGCAAGCTTTCCAAGGAATAAATACAGGGTGTCCCAAAGGTCACCATACATAGGACAATTAACAAACTCATATTTTATATTATGTTTTAAATTTGTAGTTTTTTTATTGTTGGAGATTCATTAAGGGAATAAAGAACCAGTTTACATTGATTGTTAGGTAAAGTCTTTCTATATTTCTACATCAACACACAGAGAAATATTTTGTAAATATGTTTATAAAATTTTGTACTGACTTTTGAAAATAAAGGTACATTTGGTACAATTTCCCATTTTCCGTATGTATGTATAGTGATCTTCAGGACAACAAAGGATTCTAAATGCTATCCAATAATAATAGTAGTGCATGTGTTTCATTTCTGACAGTTTTCAGTGTTTTCTGTGCAGAGTAAGGGAAGGTATATAAACACTAGTTAAGGAATTTCCTGTTTTATCTGGGAATAATTCTGATTAAGATTGAAGCTCCAGAAATACAGGGCAAAATGAAGACTTAACACGAAGAATAGAAATTTTATTTACTGTACCCCTGCCATGCCTTCTTGTAGTACATGTAACAGCATTAGAAACTGATTCATCTAGTCATGCCTCACCAAAAGGTAACACTTTTAATTTCTCATACTTGACATAGGTAAGATTTACACTCTATACCTATGTCAAGTATCAATAAAAAATATATCAAAACAACTGATGTAAGCATGCTCTCCTATGAACCTGAGAAATTTTGTTAATAAAAGCTCTAATGTGAAGGATGGCAATTCTTTTTTTTGAATAATTATGTTTTTATTTTGTTTTCTAAATTTTTATTTATTATTCATTTCAGACTGATATGAGTGTACAAATATACCATTTATACACAAAATTAAAACAAAATTAAATTTAAGTGGGGGGAGAGGGGATGAGGAAAAAGATGTCAAATCTTATAACATTAAAGCTATGTGGGGGTATATGACACACTTCTTGGGTGAAATTTCTACTGTCTGTAAGACTTGGTGTGATCTGTCTTTTTTTTTTTAAGAAATTATTTTTTACTTTTATTTATACATATTAGTCGTCTTTTTTTTTTTTTAAGACTTTGGTAAAAACATAACAAGCAAAAAATATTTTGTTTGCTATTTGTATTTTGTCTTGTGTATTCTGTAACAAACAGGTAATAAATGATTATGTATTCAAAGAAAGAAAAAAAGAAAAGAAAATAGTGACTAATTCTCATATAAATTATATTTAATTTTGACCAAAGTACATTACTTAAACATTAATTTTTAATTCAACATGTTAATATGTTGTTTATTATATTGCATCCTCATTTATAAGTGAAATATGTTTGTAATTTCCCTT